AAAGCATACTGATGTAACTTTAACCTCAGAATTTCTTTTACAAAATAAATAAATAAATAAATAACCTCAGTATTCACTGTGACACAAAAAGTGACCACTATCACAAGAGGTTTCCTTTTGATCTAAACTGTTCAATGCTTTTCTTACCCTTCCCAAGAGCAAATTTTTATATTTACTTTTCAACTTGGGTTATTTCATAAAGAACACTCAATTATAAAATTCAGAGCACTACACGCCTAAACACAAGGATTCCCAATTAATTATATTTAACTTGTTAAGTTTGTCATCTCATATTTGTAAGTAGAGTCTATGAAGACTCTTTTCATTATTTTTAGACAGACACACACACACAGAGAGAGACACACACACACACACACATTTAAGCCTCAAGAACTGAGTAGTCATTTTCTCACATAACCTTCTAAAAGGAGAAAACAAAAATAACGTATATATTTACCTAACACTAATGCACACCATTGTACATTTCACTATGAAACAAGTAAGCACTTTTCAGAAAGTTAGCAGTCAATCAAAACTTTAGCAGGGACATCTGTTACTCTTTGTATTAATAAAAGTCTACAAAGAGTCCAAAAATTTATATATTCACTAAGTCAACAACTACCACAAAAGAGAAAAAAGAAGAAAACTTTTAATAGGGGACATATATTTCCCATTATCTTAAAAAAGAAAAAAAAAGTGATTTTTGTAAATTATGGAAAACTATCTAAACAGCATTTAAAAAACAAAAACAAAAACTTCAAAAGTATAACAAAGAGATTTGGGGTAACCAGGGCAGTATTTTAAGTACAAAAGTCAGCTAAGCAGTGGTCCACATGCTTTTGATCCCAGCACTTGGGGGGCAGAGGCAAGTGGATCTCTGTGAGTTCCAAGCACAGCCTAGTCTACAGAGTGAGTTCCAAGACAGCCATGACTACACAGAGAAACCCTGTCTCCCGGGAAGTGGGGGAGGGGGGGAGGATATTCATAGTGTCCAGCATTACTTTTAATGCATTAATTTCCTAACTGATATGGAAGAACTTAGCATTTTAAAGCAGAACTTTGCTTATGTTTTAAACCACAATCTATCTCATTAACAATGTCTACATGGCTTCTGGCAATTTACAAAGAGCTTTCACATGTACTACTTAATTTGATCTTACTAAAACAAACAAACAAACAATATTGTACCTACAAAATTGAAAGCAGGTCTACCAAATTTTCTATGTGGTTCTAAGTTTCAAAACTTTGATACAAAACTTTACAAGCAATCACAATCAATTCATCTAATACTAAGAATTTCAAAGGACCATGTACTGTGAATGCCATGAAAATGTTAAAGTAACTACTTTTATCTTTCTGCAGTCATTGTTAAAAGTTACTAATGGACACACCAGCAAAGATATATTCTCATAGGCATAACTTTCCACCAAGTTTATTTTTCTTGAAACAAGGTCTTATAATGTAGGCCAAGCTGCCACTGACACTCAGAGTGCCTGCTTCCCAAGCCTACTATACTAGGATTACAGGCCAAGACCTGGAATTACAGAGCACTCCACTTAATTTCACATATAGTTAAAAAAATCACAGTCTTTGAAGGCCAATTTAAATCTAACAATAAAGTTGAATGCCTAAGAAGGCATATAGATTAGAATTACGGTTCACAAAATCAAGGAGAGGGAGGAAAAATCCAAGAAAAATAATTTTTCCATTTCCCAAAAATGTTTATATGTCCTATTTATATTAATAACATGTTTTCAAAACCTAAAGCCCTATATCATGTCACTTATTTTTGTTTACTGCAACTTCAAAGAATTTTTTTCAAATTATGTTCTACACTCCATGTTCTAATTTACCATTGAAAGAAAATAATCATAACAGCACTCTACTCTTAACCCAGCATCCACAATAATAAATTTATTGGACATAGTATCATAGGCAGGTACAAAGCAGATTTTAAATAGCAAAGGCTATTTATTAATAGTATTTTATAACAGACTTACTCTAAATCTTCCTGGAATTTTACTCCTGCTGCTTATGAGCTAAGAGAGCTTCAGTAAGTAGCAAGACCCTCAAAATTAAGAGATTGCCTTTAACTTCTTGTAGCACCTCCTGCTGGATAGCACCAGAGATCTTTGTATAAACAGAAGGATGTTTCTGAAGTAGCTCCTTCCAGATAACTGAGCAGGAAAAAGGATTGGCCATTGAAAGCTAAAGGAAATAGTGTCCCATCCATCACTTACATCCCTGTAAAATAAAGTATGGTCTAGGCAGGTGTCTTTTCAATGTATTATTCTTCCCGCTCCTTTGCCTGGATCCAAAGTCTGACCACCTTAAACTGTGTAAAGCCATCTAAAATCTTAAGTTAAAAATGTCTTCAATAGCACTTAAGAAAAAAAATTTAAAAAACATTTTTATAATAGACAAATAATGCCAGTCAAAATGTACATATCGTGTTACCAACATCAAAAGTCTCAAGTAAAGAAAGCCCCTGGAATCGTTTTAACATGTTAGTCAAATACTTGTGCTTTGAGAATTTTTTGCACTTTCACTAGAGTCTTCACTTAAGGATAGCTGTACATGCACTAAAGAGTTGAGTACTGAAATTTTTAATAAACATATGCATTACGACACTCAAAATTTCCTCTTTGCCACCAAAACATGTCCTGAGATTTAAAAAAAAATTATTCTTAGACATTTAAAATGGCCCTTGGTAAGCTGGCATTAAGCTCACAGCAGATTCTATACACAAGTGAAGACAGAAGAAAATAGCAAGGAACTTACCGAAATTAAAATGAGTAACAGTATTCGCAGGAAAATTTCAGTAATGCTTTCCTACAAGGCTGTAAACCAAGTAGATGGTAAAACTTTGAAAAGGGGGGAGGGGGCTAACCTTCAAAATCCAATAGGAGCGCTGACCTATTTATTTCTACTGCCCAAATGCGAGGAAACATGAAATGTAAACAAATAACAGAAAGACTTTCCCAAAAAGTAGCCTTACACTTCTTAGCCTTAATTTGAGCCCCCTGAATAGGGGCCTCGATAAAGCTACAGATGATGCTGAGGATCTCTCTACCACTCCTCCACCGGCGGCCCCCACCCCACCCCACCCCACCCCAGTGCCCCCAAAGAACTACCATGAAGAGTGCCTGCCAAAAGACTTCCTTCCTAGAGTGCATGACTGCTTTAAAAGAAAAAGGTAGGAAAAAACCTTCAACCAGCCCAAATGAATCTGATTCTAACATTCAGCTATCAATTATTAATAAATAAATGCCTTTCCTCTCTAACTTCCTCAGCTCAAGATTCTACATTCCTGATACCTACCATTAAGCATAACTAGCATCCCAGCTATGAAGTAAAATCTTAGAAGTCAAAAAAAAAAAAAAAAAAAGCAGCCACAAAGTTCACTGTCAAGGCCAGTGCTGAGGCCCACACATGCCGAGACCTTAAAATCACATTTGAGATTCTAGAAATCCATACTCCCGAAGACATCATTTAAAAACAACACAATGTGGACGTGCAGAGGGAGATCCTCTACTTCAAGACCTAAACAAAGAATATTTCAACATATGACCGGAATATGATGACACCAGATTCACCCACGAAAACAAAACCTACCTACCATTAGCCATCGTACCCTCATCTCAACAACTCAACTACTTAGAAATCACTCCCAGCACATCTACACGCCACAATCGGCATGTGGCCTCCTCCCGGGGTGCAAGCCACAAGACAAAGTTGAAAGGAGACCTTTCTCGCCCGGTGCCCCAATGTCCACATCAAACCCCTCCCTTGCCAGGGCCACCTTGCAGCTACCCACCATTGCGAGCGTGGTCAAGGGAGGAGGAGGTAGGGGAAAAGAGAGAGAGAGAGAAAGAAATCCTAACAGCACCGCTCAGCAGAATAAAGAGAGCAGAGAGAGGATGACGAGAAGTGTTGGGAACTGCGTGCACCGCGGGGCTGGACCAAACGGAAAGAGTCCCACTCCGCGCGCCCCTCCCCCCGCGGCCCGGGGGGGAGGGGCGGCCGCGGCCCCTCTCTGAGGGGCCTGTGAGTCCCCGGCCCGGCCCGAGCGGGGTCCCGGGCCGGCGGGCCGGCGGCGACGGCGGGAGGGCCGCCCCGGGGTGAGGGGTGCAGGCGGACTCCTCGGAATAACAAGTTGCAGAAGAAGAAGAAGAATAAGCGGAATTTCCCCAACGCTGCTCCGGCCACCCAAGACAAATGCACCAACACACACTCACTCACACACACTCGGGCCCGGCAGCGTCAGCAGCCGCAGCTTTTTTTCTTTTTTTTAAGCCAGATCTCTCAGTCACCAAACAAGATGGTTTTCCAAAAAAAAAAAAAAAAAAAAAATTTAAATTAAATAATCATAATAAAAACTTCCCCCCGACAGCATCCTGGGGAGTGGGGGTGGGGAAGGGGCCCAGGCGGCCATCCCCCGGCCGCAGGCACTCGCGGGGGGCGGCCTCGGCCCGCGCCCCCCCCAGCCCGGCCCCCCGCCGGGACGCTGTGTCGCCCCCTCGCCGCCACCCCCGACGCGCCGCCCCTGTCACCCGCTCCGGCCCTGCACTCAGAGCCCAGGCTCCCGAGGCTGCTCATAAACTTACTTCCAATCTATCCTAGGGAGGGGTGGAGGGCAGAGGGGAGGAAGGGGGGAGACGAGGTATTCCCATTGTCTTTTTTTTTTCCTGGGGGGGGGAGAGGAATAGGAAAAGGGCACGCAGGGGGGCGCCCCGAAGGGGAAGTTATAGCTGAAATCTCAAGTTGACTGAGGGGTCCTGACGAGAACACCCCCTTTCCCTCCTCCCTCCCACACACCCCTCCCCTCCCCCTACCTCCCCCCACAACAAACTCCAAGCAAGCAGCCCCTGCTCCTTCCCAGAGACAAACACCAGAGACAAGACAGGGGGGGGGGAAGGGAGGGGAAATAGAGCTACTCAAGAAAAAAAAGAGAGAGGAGAGTGAGGAAAAGAGAGAATGGAAAAGCTGGGATACTGCACCCTCCTGCTGCTGGCTGGCTGTCCCCCCTGGCAGCTGGAGGCAGGAACTCTGAGGAGAAGCAGGAGGAGGAGGAGGAGGGAACTCTTCTTCATGGGGAGGGAGGGAAGAGGCTGGAGCTGCTGCTGCTGCTTCTGCTGCTGCTCTGGGCCTCTCGCACTTTTTAGATATTAGTGTGTTAAGATGGTAGGTTGTTCCCTTCTCCCTCCTCCTCCTCTTCTCTCTCTCTCTCACTCACTCACTCTCTCTCTCTCTCTCTCCTCTCTCTCCTCTCTCTCTCTCTTCTCTCTTTCTCTCTCTCTCTCTCTCTCTCTGGGCTGTTTCTTTCCTCCTCTTCCCCAGGCAAGGGGGGGTGGGGAGGAGGGGGTTGGGGGGAGGAACTGGAGCCTCCTCCTCCTCCAGGAGAGACACACTCAGGCCCCGGGCCGGAATGGGGAGGGAGGAATCAGAGCAGCAGGAGAGAAACTGTGGGAGACAAACAAGCCCAACTCTTCATCCTCCTCCTCCTCCTCTCAGCAGCAGCAGCGAGCACCACCAGCCCATTCACCACCCGGCCCCGGGCCGCAGCACCTCCGCCGCCTCAGCCCGGGGATCCCTCCGCCCAGGCCCAGACACACTCGCCCGCGCGGGAGCCCGCCGCGCGGCCCCGCCGGCCCGCTGCCGCCGCCGTGCGCGCCCCCGCCGCTCCCGAGAGCCGGGCGAGAGGGACTGGGGCTGAGGAAGCGGGGCCGAGGGAGAACGGGCAGGCGGGCGGGGGCCGGGCGGAGCTGGACCGCGGCGGGCCCCGGCCGCCCCGCGCCCCTGTGTAGGAGCCCGTGGCTTGCGGGAGGCGCGGGGGACCCCACGGGGGCACGGGGCGGCGGCGGGGGCCCGCGGCGGCGCTCGGGCGGGCGGACTACTTGACGTGTCGGTGCGGCGAATTTATTTCACTTTGCCTAAGGAACGGGGTGTGCTGCGGCACCCATTGCCTAGGGAAAAAACCCGGATGTAAAGTGAGTGAAACTAAACTAGAGTGAAGTAGGGCAGCAGCAGCCAAACTCCGGTGCAGCGGCGGCGGCGGCGCTGGGGCCGAGCGGCCGCCAAACTCCCGGCCCGCCGCCGCGCCGCAGCCCGGCCAGGCCCGAGCCCCGGTCCCCTCCCGCCGTCGGGAGCTGCTGGGGGGCTCCCGAGCAGCCCCAACTCCCTCCAGTGCAACAGCAGTTTGCAGGGGTGGGGGTGGAAAGAAGGCAGGAGCGAGGAGGAAGCACTGCAATGGGGGAGCGAGTGGTCCAGGCAACAGGAGAAGATGCAAGCTCAAGTCGAATGCAACATGCAATCCCCGGCCACCCCGCCCCCTTTGCAAATAACTACCCTTGAACCACTTTATTAGCCGTGTGGAGTCCCACACTAGCTCCGGGGAGGGGTGGGGGACGGGGTCCTTCGCTCACCTTTATTTATTGCTGCTTTCTGCCCCCCTCTCCATGTTTTTTATTCCTAAGTTCTTTTGTTCTAAGGGGGATGATGGCATTTACTTTTCTGCTTTGTGTAGCAGGGCAATCACTGGGAATCGGCCACGTATAATCCGGCGGTTTGTCATATTTTATTAGTGAAAGTATTTTATGCTTAGTCCACCTCCAAGGACTAACATGGAGAACTGCAGGGGGGTGGGCGACATGAGAAGAATTCTTGTTTTCAAAGATTTCTTGGCGGGGCGGGGAGGGCCTCTTTTTTTTTTTTTTTTTTTTTTTTTTATCTTTGAGGAGGTTCATTTAAATTATTAAATCGATAGTTTTCAACTTAAAGCTTAATGCTTTTGCACGGGTGAATTGTTGGATTGTAAAATAACCCCCAACCAGGATTTAAAAAAAAAAAAAAGTAAAATGTCCTAGCTTCTAGCTCTTTTTAAAAAAAAATCCCATCTGGACACTGATCTCTGTTCTGAGCTGCATGCTGGACTTAATGTAGTGTTAGTCTTCCTGTGTTAAATAACAATAAACCTCAACCTCAACAGAATACAAATGGGGGCTGGGGGTGGTTTTGTTTTTAAGGCTCAGCACTTTTGTAGCATCTGCCACTACGCATTTTCCAGGCATTGATTAACCATGCAACTCCCATAGGCATGAAGTCCAGTTTTTGCAGATGAAGAGCAACAGTAGTGAGATGATTTGCCCAAAGTCAAAGTGAGTCATTGGCACAACCAGGAAGAGCCTTGGACTTGATTTGTTACTAATCACATCTTTTTCATTAAATAATATTTTATCCAAGAAATAGTATTTAAAAATAAGTGCACATTCTTTATCTTACCAGAGGGGCTCTGAGATCACTGGATGTGAAGATAATTTTCTTCTGTGAGATGCAAAATTTAAATTTAGCTTCTCAAGAGAAAGCATATATATATATATATATATATATATATATGATTTATTAAAAGTAAAAAAAGTGAACTTTATTTTACATGTATAGGCCATTAAGTAGTAGTTTATGTTAAAAAAGAATTCACAGCACAAAGTGGAAGAGTTTGAGAATAAAAATGAAAGTCCCAATTAATGATTCAGGAAGCCTGAATGAACTCATAATGTGAAACTCAACCTATAGTGCTGGCAAGATAAATAACAGAGCAAGTTGGGTACTAACTTCCGCACTCAGCTAACCAGTGTCCTTAAGTGTAGGTGTTTAAAGCTGTACCAGTGGGCCATTGCAACAGTAATCATAAGATGCAAGATGTCAACATTTTTTCCTCAGAGGAAGGCAACCTTAGTGTTCTTAGGAGAAAAAAAAAACTTTTTTTTTTTTTTTCCCCAGAAACATGATTGAGGGTCATGCTCAACTTGGGCAAGAATGTATAAACCCTATACAGCAAATCAGCAAATTTTCTATGAAAGCCCAGATTGTAAATATCGTAGGTTATTCTGGTACCTAAGTCAACAAGAGCTTCTCAATTTTTCTGTTCCTGTAACAAAATCTACCACAGACTACATGTAAACCAATGTGTCTGGGTGAGTAGTCTAATAAAGTTTTATTTGTGCACATTGACATTTGACTTACATGTGCTTTTCATGTTGTGAAATGTGTTTGTTTCAATTTTTCATCTTTAAAAAAAATGCAAAAAAAAGGGGGGGTTTTCCATTTAGCTTTTTGGAGGACATCACAGAGCCAAACACTGGGAAGATGGGGTATAGTAGCTGTTTTGCTTATCTCTTCTCATGAGGATTCAGATTGAGTAGTCATTGAACTTCCATCAGGGAATGTTTGTACAGCAATTGTAAAATAACAGATATTTACATTTCTTTACCTTTTTTTGTTTGTTTGATTGATTGATTTCTGGGCTTGGGATTTTGTTTTGGTTTTGTTTTATTGAGACAAGGTCTTATGCTGTGTGGCCCATGCTGGTTTAAAACTCACTATATAGCCCAGGTTGCCCTCTACTCACTTCAGCCTCCTAAGTGCTAGAATTACAGATAAGAGCCACCACTCCTGATGGCAAAATTTTTTAACTGTGTGATGTCTAACATTCTTTAGGCTCTCAACATTTATGGAAAAGAACATTCTACCTTGTGATTCTTTAGCAGGAAATCATTGTTTGTTTTATACTCCAAGAGTACAGTATAATAGGATTGTGCAAACCTGGATTCTGGGAGATGGTGGCACTGGTCTTTAGTTCCAGCACTCAGGGAGGCAGAGGCAGACAGATCTCAGTGAGTTTGAGGCAGCCTTGTCTACAGAGTGAGTCCCAGGACAGCTAGAGATAAACAGAGAAACCCTATCTCAAAAAACCAAAAAAAAAAAAAAAAAAAAAAAAACAATACACACACACACCCCCCCCCCCACATCTTTTTCAAATAAGCTACTTTTGGTAAATTACTTCACTTCCCTGCTGCTTCAGTAGTGGTCGGGTATGGTGGAGGAGTTGGGGTGACTTGGAGCTCAGTTATAAAGTGTGTTTAACATGCTTGAGGCACTGGGCTCCAGCCCTACACAATGAGAACCTGTCTCAAAGAAGAAAAGTAAAGAAGGAAGGGAAAGGAAAGAGATACTTCAGTAAAGTGATTCACACAGTGCTCTGTATGTGAGACTGCATAAGACATCTTTCCTTGTGCCCAAAAAGTTCATTTCTTGTATAGCTGGAGAAGGTGAACAAGTAGCATTGTCTCACTTTGACAGTGCAATTATGACTCAGATTCAGAGTGTGTGGGGTCTATTCGAGGCAGTAAGGTACAGAAGTGCTGCCATGCTATGCATGGGGCACTTAGGCACACACTAGCTATGTGACCCTAGACAAAACACTTGGGCTCTCAGAACCTTGTTCCTTACATGATACAGATGGAAAGATTGGTGTAAGGGCTAAAATCATACATGCCAAAGGGAAGCAACAAGTACTCTCAAAAGTCTCAGGGATAAGCTGAAAATCTAGTCCACTAAAAAAAAAAAAAAAAAAAAAAAAAAACCTCCTTCGAGGTAAGTCTTTCAACTTTCAGAAGTGAAATAGGGGCCAGGCTGGAAGGTATCACTTAACAGTAGATACATTTGTTATGTGTGTGAGGTTCCAACATGCACACCCACACAACAAAAGCATCAATGATAACGACCACACATGGGCAGTCACTACCTAAGTATCCCTTGAAAATGTTTAGTTTCATCCAAGCTTGGTGGCTCAGGTTTGTTACCCCTACTTCTCTGTAAACTGAGGTAGAAAATCACAAGTATTAGGCCAGCCAGGGAAATTAGTGAGACCTTGTTCAAAATAAAAGCAAAAGGACTGGAAATATAGCTCAGTGATAGGTTGTTTGCCTAGAATGAGGTAGGTCAATCCTCAGTACAAAAAAAGAAAAAGACAAATTTGCCATCGTATCCCCATTAAACAAAAATAAAAGTCGAAAACTTTTTCTTTTTAAAACATATGCATATTTGTGTATGCACCTGGCTAAGAGACAACCTGCAGGAGTCACTTCCCTCCTTCCACGGTGTGATTTCCAGGGATTAAACTCAGGTCCACAGGCTTGGCAGCAAGCACCCTACCCATTGAGTCATCTTGCCAGTCTTCACATTATGAATGCCATTTAATAGCAGATGTAGTCTTTACTTTTCATAGAAATAGTCAAATAATTTTCCCAGCCTTTTCAGTGTTCCGATCTCCAAAATTAGGAAAATGCTGAAATTTTCATTTTAAAACTTTAGCAGTTGCTTGTTTGTGGAGACAGGGTCTCACATAGCCCAGGCTGGCCTTGAACTCCATGCTGTGTAGTCAAAGATGACCTCTGATCTTCCTGACTCTACCTCCCAAGTGCTGA